TATTTTTATTATTACTAGAGATTTGTCAACGAGTTTCTGATAAAAGAAGGTTAGTATGAAGTAATTTATATTATTAGATTTTCATTAAGCGCAAGTTAAATACACGTAAAAAAGTTTTGTTCGAATTAGCAGAAAAGTTTTATTTGATGGATAGTTTTATATTTGTTCATATATTCGCGCAAAGCTAAGCAAATGTTTTTTGTTTTTTTTACGCTAGTCTATTTCAACAAATAGACTATAGGGAAAGTAGGTACTCAACAGCATCCGCAAACTCTTGGACTTCTTTAATTGAACAGTGGAATTTGATGTCATTCTTATAAAGAACCCATAGCAACAAAGTTTGGAGTGCGATTTGCGATGTTGAAACAAAGGGACGTGAACCACAGATCCTCAAGTCACAGTTCGGCACGCTAATCATTAGCTTTGTCCGTTGAATGTTCATTTGAGATTTCTTGAAACATGATGTATATGTATAATTTATGCATATTTTAATTACAATAAAAACATTTATTAAAATTTGTTTTTTAGTTTGAATTAACTTAAAAATAACTTAGTTGAATAAAATATTTATTGGTTTAAAAAATAAAAAAATGAATTATTTTTTCCTGTAGAAACAACTCGTTTTCGAAAATAATTTTCCTTCATTTGGGTCTTAGACTTTCTTAGAGCATAATCTTATTTTGTTTTTGTAAATCCTTTAAAATACTGCTATTTTTCTGCTCAAGCAGCTTGTGTTGCAATATATTATGTCTGATAAGGCAGTTATATGTATATGTAGGCATTAAGATTGCTATGTGCTCCAATATCTAGATGAGAATTTTATCCATTTATTATGTTTTTTTTACTTATCTCATAAAAGGTATCCGATCCATATTAGTAGCCAATCCATTTCATGAACAGACAGTCATCACATTTCGCCACGTGATAATTTACTATTACGTTCTCAATTTGCCTACTAAATAGTCATCTTGCATAAAATTAACACCTACGACATTTGAATAGCTTTAACTTGATTACTCACGATATTAGACTTAAGCTATAAGTAAGAATTATCGGATCTTTTGTGTTTCATGCACCGCGCACAAATAGAAAATAATACATATTTTTGAATGTAGTTTTTAATGCTGATTTCAGAAATATAAATTAAAATTTGGAGAAATAAAAATATTTTTTATTTTGCTTACAAAACAAAGGAAGTACTTTTAGCATTACATATATATACACCTATGTATTTAAAAGAATTGTAAACATCAAGACAATACAAAGTATCTATTGACAATGTAACAAATTCATTCTGAAAAGTCAGAAATATTCTTAAGTATTCGCTTGAAGAGATCATCATTTTTATGCCTACGACGCCCAGTGAACGTGTTACGTCGCTTGTTACGTCTCTAAACCTTATTCCGAGTACTTTCAACTTGCTGCAGATTTCAGAAATATAAATTATAATTTGGTGAACTGATTTTTAAAGGGGAAAGAATGGGGAAAAATTGAGATTTTTTAAAGAATTATTTTAATTAAATTTATATTTTATTTAAATAAACATGTAATTATTTACTAATTAGTCCAACTTGATCTAACCTCACATAAACTGAATTAACCTAGGCAAAAAAAAAAAATCATTTCTCCAAATTTTAATTTATATTTCTGAAATCAGCATTAAAAACTGCATTCAAAAATATTTATTATTTTCTATTTTAACGCGGTGTATGAAACAGAAAAAATCCGAATTATCAGTTGCGAGGTAACACGGGATTATAAATAGATTATTTTCTTCTCTCCCTCTCTCTTTTTTTCCCTAAACCTGTCGGCCTTATTTTCTTGAAAGGAACTATTTGTTTAATACTTTCAATGATTACTTTTCTTTAAGAAATTGGTTGAATGATGTGGCTTGCGATGAATTTTCATAAACTATTCATCCTCGACTACAGTTTGACATTTTTATGAGCTCAACATTTTCTCTTTTTGTTACTATTATGCGTATTAAGGCTGATCATCAAAAAGTACGATTTTTCACCTCTATATTTCACTCTTTCTTATGTCATATTCCTTAGGTATCTGTCAGTAATCTCCGGGGTTCAATCACCATGGTGAACATGGCATAGATACCAGGAGAGCAGCATTGTGTTAAAACAAACAAACAAGCTGTCTTATCTCCGCTGGAATCATTACAGTCAAGCCTCAAAATACTTTAATTGGTCATCTCTAAACAATACTTGACAGTGCCCTCTGTTGTCTATTCGTTTCTTACTTCAACAGGAAATTTTATAGTATGTCTACTTTGGGCAAATGTCTTAGAACAACAAACAACAAAAATGTGAAAAAAGTATTGAAAGCATTGGAAAAATTGATACTAATTTTACAGAAAATGTATAGAATAATTCATATATTGGTTTTTGATGATAGTTAAAACCCATAATCTAATGAACGACGTATGCATTTTATTTGGTTTTCAATTAAATTTTTAAATCGGGTTGGATGATTGCTGGTAGGGTGGACTGGAAATTTAGGTTTCATATACTGTATTCACCTCCTGCCCCAAATGGTTCAACGATAATCTTGAGGGCTTACAACGCTAAATTTCAGGTTTCGCTATCGGCTATGGGCAGAGTACATTTAGCTTATTATGTAGCTTTGCGCTTAACGACAAACAGACAAGGACCCTTAGAGTGGACTGTGAGTTTAAGTTTCATCTATTCCCTACACTTCTTATCTCCAGTGGCTCAGCGATAAACTTGAGGGCTTATAACGCTAAATTTCGGCGTTCAATTCTTGTGCTGGGAACAGCTCATACAGCTCAATGTGTAGCTTTGAACTTAACGGCAAACAAACAAAAGTTTACCTCAAGTTTAGTGTAAATGTTTCAACAACAAAGTTACAGTTTTCGCTTCGAATAAGTAAAAGATGTCAGAGAAAGTAATATGTCTTACATTTAACTGTGTTGAGTCGTCCGAACATGGATAAGTACTAAAAACAGCCAATTTTTAAACTCCTGTTTACATATTGAAGCCATTTGGTGGCTATGCGTTCCCAAGAATCCATGAATCAAAGCAAAGGAGAATACGCTACATATAATATGTCAACTACACTGCACCTCTCATGTCAGGGATTATTAGGCCGCCTGGGATACGACAGAAATAGTAGGGGTCTAGGTGCTATGGATATGTATATCATCAATTTTCACGAACAACAATTATTATGGTGTGAACCAGATTATGAGTTAATTGTAACTACTATCAGTTCTATTCGAGTCATTTACAAATATGATTTTTACGGTAAGAATTAATTATACAGCATTATTTATTTTATTTCTATTTTAACCCCAATTATTTATTTGTATTTATTATGATTATTATTCATTTTTAATTTAATTGAATAACATTCACAAGAACTAGAGAACGAGCAAGCTAGTCTTGTTTCCGAATTTCATCATCAAGAAACCACAGAGTTAACGGAATAAAACAATATTACTAATTCTAAATGTGGAAGCAAAGAAGGATATGAAATAATTCTTCAACCACACTAAATCTGCTAAATCCAGTGCCGACGAGGCCTTATGTTTATCAGGAAAGTATTTTTTTTTCACGTTTCGTTATTGTTTAAACATAAATCCTTATGAATGAAAATAAAAGTCATGAAAAGTGTTCTTAAAAGTAATTCATTTTGTACTCTTCTTGGTTCCTAGTGCTGAATTTTTTTATTTTTTATAATTAAACAGTGTTAAATCTGATGACTAGGAACCCGCTTTATAAAAAAATATAAGTCATGAAAAGTGCTCTTAAGAGTAATTCATTAATATTAAGCGTAATATTAAAAACGTAACTTAACGGATGCTAAAACAGTGTTATTCCTTTACATAAAAACAAACATAATTGGAGTACTCACCTTGGGGTGAAAAATATTGAGGCAAAACATTAGAGATTTTAGTTTATAAAAGTTAAAAACAACAAACGAGTTGGTGCAGTATTCATAGTATTTATTTTTTCGTAACATTTGAGTGTTAATATCGCAAGAAACAAATAAATAATTATATTTCCATCTTATCGGTATTTGCCACCATGAAAATTGCTACCCAATAACGTTAAAGTGATTAACGTGTATCTCCATAATACTAAAGTGACTAACGTGTAACTCCATAATACTAAAGTGACTAAGGTGTAGTTAGCTAGTGTTACGTAGGCAGTTAGTATCAGTCAAATTATTATAACTTTTTTAGGTTGTATATTTTAAACGAATTTTTTACTAATGATAACATAAAAAAGATAAATAAAAAGTTAGACTCAAGTGCTTAGATTCTTTTCATTATCTTGTCATTATCATTAGCTATAAACGAAGAGAATACTTTATTGTAACATAAATTAGTAGGACACCATACTGTTTAATACGTATACACACAAAGATGAATGGAATAGGGCACAATATCAACAAACAGCAACTAATGATTAATTTAAATGCCGAGAAATGAAAGCAACAGCTGTCAGACAGAACGGAATGTGCTGCAGTAAAAATATAATAATTTTACCGACGTAATGGGATATTTTAGCTAATCATTGAAATATTTGTAAATATGATTTGTGTATTTAGCAGAAAGTACACAATTTGTTATAATGCACAATTTCCAGTTGATATGAATTGCAAATAAACGCATCAATATTTTCTATCTTCTTTACTGTTCTTAAAAATTGATTTGTGTAAATTTTTTAAACACGCATATGGACTAATCTTTTTTTTTTTTATTTTAGCGAAATGATGAAGAGTTTGACGATAGTACTAATGGTACTCACGCAGAGTCCACATAAAGCGGAATTTGTTAACATTTTACTTCTATAAGCATCCAACTTTTTGAGACACAAAGGTCAAGGACACTGTAAAGTTTTATTAGAATTGATAGTGAAATTGAAACAAGAGCTGTTGTTGTTTTTCGCAAATATTTATGTTTTACACCGTACTTTATAGTTTTCTTTTTCCACTTAACAATGTCAAACCGGCTATTTCCATACCAACGTCTACTAAGTTCTTTCCATACCAGTGTCAGCCAAGACGTTTCCATGCCAACGTCAGCCTTCTTTAGAAATTCTTCTGAAGCCTGAAAATAGCATACACATTTCTTTAGCGAAATAACAAGCAAATGTGAGGCATTTCACTTTTGAACGAGAAAACAGAAATGATTGAAGATATTGTTTTCGACTTTGCAAAAAACACACACTTTCAATAATAATGAGCGCGTGTGATATATCATGTTTCACGGAACTTTCAGGTTCTAAACTGTTATTGGTATTACACTAATTCATTTTATGCCATTATTATGAAAATATCATGAAAAGAAAAAAGTAATCAGGCATTCAAGTCAAGAACTCAGAATTCAGCAGACCATAGTCAATAAAGTTGTTGATAAATTCTAAGAAAATGACTAGCTCCCACACAAACAGAGCAAAACACTGTATGAACATTTCCTGACCATCAAAAATAAATATTAAAAATAGTTATAAGTTATTTTGATAAAATGTTTAGTTGTTTGCGTTTATTCTGTATTGCACAACTTACATTTAAGTGAATGAACCCCGGATTCGAAAGTCTCACGGGTTATCTTCCAGAAGGATATATTTATAAACAACATCTAACATCCCCAGACTATAATACTCTTAAGTGTATTTTAAACAAGTTATTTTATTGACATGGTTGTATTTCTGAATCTCATATTACCTTTTTGTAGTCATCTGAAAAATTATGATGTGTTCCGTTTATGTTATCTGCGGACATACAACGCTAGAAACCTGTGGTGGGCAGAGCACAGATAGCTCACGGTGTAGCTTTGTGCTTAACATTAAACAAACAAACAATTAATTCCTTAGGTTTGAAAATTAGATAAATAATATACAAAATATTTCAATTTTTTTTTACTTTAATTGGTAAACATTTATTCCCTTCAAAATATAAAAACATAATATTGTAAATTTCCAAATGAAAACAAGTGAAACATCTAAAGACGTACAAAACAAACTTGTTTAAATTATTGTGAAATAATCACTTATAAAAAGTTGTTTGTACGTTTGAGCAGTTAAATATTAAGTATAATTGGATTAAATGGATGATAAAAAATCATTGCTTTTTATTCTTCCTTTCAATATTTGAAAATTTGCAAGGAGATAAAACTTCATGGTAAGAAACTTAACGGCCCGGCATGGCCAGGTTGTTAGGGCGCTTGACTCGCAATCTGAGGGCTGCAGGTTCGAATCCCCGTTCGATCAAACATGCTCATCCTTTCAGCCGTGGGGGCGTTATAATGTGATGGTCAATCTCACTATTCGTTGCTAAAATAGTAGCCCAAGAGTTGGCGGTGGGTGGTGATGACTAGCTGCCTTCTCTCTCTAGTGTTTCACTGCTAAATTAGAAACGGTTAGTACAGATAGCCCTCGTGTAGCTTTACGCAAAATTCCAAACAAACCAAACTTAGAAGCTTACCACTGAAACAAACATAGATGACGCACCAGTAAACAGCTGCTTTGCATTATGTTGACAAAATCTGAGATTTCCAATTTTTAAAGATCGTAAAACTGATAACACAATATTGATTCCTAAAGAGTACGAGCGATTTGGAGCCTAGCGAAATAGTTTAACAGATTCTCATGCTCCTTTCTAGCAACAAAATCCGTCAGTCTATATCCAGTTTTAAAGCATACATTATCAAATGATATGACATGCTGTTAATAAAAAGTATAGAGAAGAGGTACTGTTTATTTCAAAATGTAGAACACATCTACAGAAGAAATATCTGTGAATAGACGTTCTTAATTTTGAACTAATAAACTAAAGAGAATGCAACTAGTTAACAGCATCATCTATCAACTCTTGTATGATCGAATAGTAGGATTTCTCCGTCACTCTTATGTCGCACCTGCAACCCCAAATGCGGTGCGCGTTTTTTGCGATTGTGGGATACAAACCAGTAACTCTCAGATCCAATTCTCATACGCTCTCCACTAGGCCACGAACGCCCCAAGGAGAAGTAAGCACGTGTATTCCAAGGAGAAGTAAGCACGTGTATTCCTAGGAGAAGTAAGCACGTGTATTCCTAGGAGGAAGTAAGCACGTGTATTCCTAGATCTTCGCCAGTTAGTAACTTACTTGCATTTTGATAGTTCCTTTTTATAAAGGTTTGGTGGCAGAGCGTTTGACTCGTAATTTGCCAGTCGCGGGATTAACGTCCGCAATGGAACATGCTCATCCTTTCAGCAGTTGGGGCGTTATAATGCGCTCGTCAATTCTACTGTTCGTTGGTAAAGTTTGCGGTGAGTGATGTTAACTAACTGCCTTCCCTCTAGTCTATCACTTCAAAATTAGGAACAGTTATCAAGATAGGCCTCGAGTAGCTTAGCGCGAAATTCAATGAAACAAAAACTTTTTTTTATAAATTATAAGAAAAGAAGTCGACTTTCATGCAAACATATCTGATTAGTTCTTGATTAATATTTCATTGTTCAATGGATTAATATTTATTTCATTAAAATCCATGAAGTACTTGTTTGAGCTAATTATTTGCACACATTAATAGAGAAGACGGTACATAGCCGTTAGGTTTACCTAGGTGGAGGTTAATGAAATACAAAACATATATTAGAAAGAGATATTACAGAAAACAACAACCCCCTAAGTTCCCTCAGTCATCTGTAGAAGCGTTTATGCATACATGGCGCGTTTCAGTCAAATAGAAAGAAAGGTTAACAGCGGACTCCTGCAGAAGCAAAGCTTTGCAGCTAAGATTACTTAACTTCTTCTGGTTTAAGTAAGAAGTATTAACACGTGTCGAAATTAGAAGTCTTGAAAAGCAAATGTGTCTTTTATAGCTTCAATACACTGCCCTTCAACTAGTTTTCAAACTCTTCAACATGTTTTTAAACTATATATTAACAGTCAATAACCGATAGCACGTGATTGTTGAACGTGTTTTACATCTTCCTTCACATAATCATAATCTGTCCCAATTTATCTAAAAAGATAACAAGTTTAATAAATGAGCTTTGAAACGTTTATAAATATTATCGATTATTTCTGTGGGTTGATATATAATATTTATACAGGGTGTCCGAAAAGTCTGGAACCGTAGGTGATTTGCAATATTTCATAATTTCAGCTACCTGACTGATTATGGCACTGACAAAGAATGAAAAAATCCTGTTAATCCAGAGTTATTTCAAATTACGAGGACAGCATGTCGAACACATTCCGTAAAATTCGTTGAAATGCCTATGGTTCCAGACTTTTCGGACACTCTGTAGAACATAAAGAAAATATGCTGCAGCAGTCAGAAGACTGAAATAAAAGTTGTTAAGATGGTTTTAAAAATTTACTGCTATAAAAATCTATACGTCATCAAGAGGATATTTGCACCATAACTGTTTTTCTTTATCTGCTTAAGTGCAACGCTGCACAAAGAGCTATCTATACTATGCCCACCTCATGGAATGAACCTCGGATTTTAGCGTTATAAGACTTGAAGATTACTGCTGAGACACTAGAGAACTGACAATATATTCTTAAGAGTCGGGTGTGAACTTTTGGTTAGAATTACATTGCCGCAAAAATGTGTTCCGCACTTTGGGGCTGTGGGTCGTTATAAGGAAGTCGGTCAAATCCTACTATTCGGTTATACTAAAGTAGCCTAAGAGTTAGCGGTTGGTGCTGTTGACTACCTGTTATGTCTCTAATGTGTAGACGCAAAATCAGGGATGGCTATGCGCAGATATCCTTGCTGTAGCTAGCTAAGAAAATATAATCTAACAAACAATTTTGTTTTTAATAAGATATGTAAAATTATTAAAAGTCAACCTGGAAATGTGTACAAATAAGATAATGAAACATATTAAATACTGTGGTGAAACTGCAGTTTTACTTACTAGTGGTGTAGATTTAAAATAAGTAAAAGTCAACCTGGAAATGTGTACAAATAAGATAATAGGACACTTTAAATACTGTGGTGAAACTGCAGTTTTACTTACTAGTGGTGTAGATTTAAAATAAGTAAAAGTCAGCCTGGAAATGTGTACAAATAAGATAATAGGACACTTTAAATACTGTGATGAAACTGTAGTTTTAATGTGGTGAAAACCCGTGTTTTAGCATCTTACTAGTGGTGTAGATGTAAAATAATTACAAAATGACGCGAAGCATGATCAGTTATGCTGTGTAAATACACATATTTCCAGATTGGAGAACCGGCTTTGCCGTAAGATTCACATACGTTATCACCAGGGCAGTCAGCTTGTCAAGCTTTACATTAAGAATTGATACACAAACTAATCCTCATCATTAGTACGGTTTAAAAATTGTGGAGTAAACTCAAAGTTTCTGTGAGGTCATTTCGTTGCAATAATTTACTTGTATAAAGTAATGCTATAGTGTCAGCTACAAACCTTGTTCTCTTTCCTCATACATATTGTTTCTTTCTCTCGCATTACTTGCTTTTCGACGACAGACAAAACGATTTTCGAGTTGTTAGTGTAAGTAACTAAGGGAACTTTACACGATTTGTTACCATAGTAACCTATGTAACACCGATTCCTTAATCTTTTACTACAGGTGTAAAGGTATACAGACCTTATAACGATTTACCTGAGCGATCAATAACATACAGGTGTCAATGATTTCATATTAGTTTGGGATGATTTTAATGCATAATCTCAGGTTGATTTTTGCAGATTCAATGTATCTTATGACGTGAGTTAAAAACAGCTTCGAAAATTGTACGATTGTCTCAGCCGTTTAATCCTTTGTTTTATATAACCTTTTCACCTTAAAATCCAGAGAAAAATCGTAAGAGAAATTAGTAACAATAAAGTCTTTGCATATTATACTCTTGACCAATTGCTTTAAACTGTGAACTTCTTTGCACTTAAACGACACCTGAGTGGACCCGACTAAACCGTTCTTCCAAAACCATCAGATGTTTTAATTATTAGGAATTTCAAATAAATGCAAGAGCTGATAAAAGTTTCGAAGTGTCGTACGTGTCAATAATGTCAGTAAAGCATTCATGTTAATTTTTACTTGTGTTACAGAATCTGATGGAAAGACTCTTTTTAAGTATAG